GACTCGCAATCTGAGGGTCGCGGGATCGAATCCCTGTCACACCAAACATGCTCGCCCTTTCAGCCGTGGTGGCGTTATAATGTGACGGTCAATCCCACTATTCGTTGGAAAAAGAGTAGCCCAAGAGTTGGCGGTGGGTGGTGATGACTAGCTGCCTTCCCTCTAGTCTTACACTGCTAAATTAGGGACGGCTAGCGCAGATAGCCCTCGTGTAGCTTTGCGCGAAATTCAAAAAAAACAAACAAAACAAAAACAAACAATAATTAAATATATTTATTATTTGTTGTATGAACTTCAAAAATAAATCAAAGTTTAAATATTGTTGTTCTGTGAATAGTATGCTTGAACAATGAAAAGTTTAGGAAGTATTTTGTTAAATGTAGCAATAAAACTTGCTTATTCTTGATAAAACAATTAAAAAAGTTTAAAAACATACTCAACGTTTCACCAGGTTAACATGTTGTCATCAGTGCGATTACAATACTAAAACTACAATGTGTATTCCTCATGATAATCATATGACTTTTAACACGTGATAATTTTTGATTGGACTTAAAAAATACATCCGGATTTCTGGCGATCTATTCATGTTTGGTGTACATCATGTTATTGCAAAACTTCTTTTAACTTTCGAAGTTTAATAATTTTTATTAAGAACTTTCACTCTAGCAAATTAAAATACATCAAAAGTGATTTTATGTATCTTTTAAAGTGAATAAAATTTTGTCTGTTGGTTCTGCATTATAGAAAATTTCACACATTTCACAGTTAACCTGACAAAGGTATCTAGGCCTTTGCACCATCTTTTGGCCAAAAGTAACACAGGCCTGCTATTGTAAACTTCATAAAAGTTGTTCTGATTTTAATAACAGATTTTTCATAATTCAGCTACGCAAATTTCGAAAATAATATTCTTTTTTTTTTCTACCACTTAAGGATTATTTACAAATCGGGAAGGAAATAACTCTTACTTAGATCAAATTATTATTTCGTTTATCACAATGAACACTTTTTATTATTATGTTTGGGTTCCAGAACGATCGATAAGACTCTCACTTTGCGATTGGTCTAGATAAATCCAAGGCCAGTGGTTGTCAACATTTTAAGCATAACAGCATGTGATCCGATTTCAATGAAAATGATTCACTTATGTAAAAGTACATATGATGTTTTGTGAAAAATTTGTACGTGATGGAGGAAAATGGATATCATTTTAGGATTCAGCGTATAGGAATTACTGTAGAACACATAAACATTTTTAGACAATAAAACCATCGCAGGGCTGTGTAATAGATGAATCTATTGAAAGTATTTTAACCAGTTTTTACGAATAAATGCGAATAGTCTATGGTGTAATGGTGCATTAAAAAGTAGTTCCTCTTTATTCAGTTTTCGATATTTCAAGTAGAAGAAACCTTCCATTCTATCTTTCAAGTAGAAGGAACCTTCCATTCTATCTTTCAAGTAGAAGAAACCTTCCATTCTATCTTTCAAGTAGAAAGAACCTTCCATTCTATCTTTCAAGTAGAAGGAACCTTCCATTCTATCTTTCAAGTAGAAGAAACCTTCCATTCTATCTTTCAAGTAGAAGAAACCTTCCATTCTATCTTTCAAATAGAAGGAACCTTCCATTCTATCTTTCAAGTAGAAGGAACCTTCCATTCTATCTTTCAAGTAGAAGAAACCTTCCATTCTATCTTTCAAGTAGAAGAAACCTTCCATTCTATCTTTCAAGTAGAAGAAACCTTCCATTCTATCTTTCAAGTAGAAGAAACCTTCCATTCTATCTTACAAGTAGAAGAAACCTTCCATTCTATCTTTCAAGTAAAAGAAACCTTCCATTCTATCTTTCAGGTAAAAGAAACCTTCCACTTTATCTTTCAAGTAGAAGAAACTTCCATTCTATCTTACAAGTAAAAGAAACCTTCCATTCTATCTTTCAGGTTAAAGAAACCTTCCATTTTATCTTTCAAGTAGAAGAAACCTTCCATTCTATCTTTCAAGTAGAAGAAACTTCCATTCTATCTTTCAGGTAAAAGAAACCTTCCATTTTATATTTCAAGTAGAAGAAACCTTCCATTCTATCTTTCAAGTAGAAGAAATCTTCCATTCTATCTTTCAAGTAGAAGAAACCTTCCATTCTATAGAAAGTTCTTGCAAAACTAGCGACTTGAAGACAGTGTTTCAAATGTTAACACTGAGCATGGATCTTAAGATATTAATAAACACTTAAGGGCATATTTCACAGTTTCAAAAACAGAAATTTATGTGAGCAAGATTCTCATAACAAAACCAACTGTAACGTTAGGAGAGTTGAATTTTTTAAGTTTAACAAAATTTTCTGTTTTGTAAAGAAAGAAACTTGACTAATATAGTGAGTAAATACTCAAGCCCAATGCTTACCTGTGTTTAAGTTATAAACACCTCAAGCCGCCATTTATGAGATGTTTCGTGGTATAATTATTGCTTCACTCAATGTAACATTATGATAAAGGTTACGCTGGTGAAATGATATACGTATATTTTATATCTAATTCTTTTTTTACCCGAAATAAACAAACTTTATTATCAAATCTGCCAATGTTATGTGAGATATTGATATATATGTGTGTGTGTTTAGATAAGTGTTGTACAAAATGAAACTATTATATTTTTATTCTTACACTATATCTGGCTAAAGTAAAAAATAACAGAAAGATAATTCAGCTATTGAAGTATGCAACGTCTTAAGTATTAAATATTAATAAGTAAAAACAAACACAGATATGTGATTTTAACTGCTAATCATGTTCTTGTAAATTCCTACTACACATGAGCTCAAAGAAGACTTTTATGGTAAAAAAAAACAACAACATGAGGATTGTCTTTAAAGAGATGCAAAAGTAGAAACGCTAATATTCTATTTAAATAAAACGCTTCCCCACTGTTGACTGATGGAAACTCGCTATAAACTGTGTTTTATTTCTCTTATACGACATCACTGTTGACTGATGGAAACTCGCTATAAACTGTGTTTTATTTCTCTTATACGACATCACTGTTGACTGATGGAAACTCGCTATAAACTGTGTTTTATTTCCGTTATACGACAACCTTGTCTTAGTATACTAGATAATTTTAATAAGCCTAATAATTTTTTAAATATATTACAAAACGTTTATGATGAAATTATAATAAAAAACCTCTATACTAGATTGCTCATTTCCGTTGGGTTTTTAATTTCATATCGGAAAAAAGGAGTTCCATAAACGACAACATATACATAAAGTGATCGATATTTGATTTGGAAAGCCACTCTGGGTAAAGCACTGAATGAACACTCTGAGTGTACATGGCGAAGAAAGGTGTACACTAAACTCACTATATTATGAGTCAGCTCAAGCTTACTTTACTTGCTCAACATTGCAAGTTTTCGATCGGATTTGTTCACAAGTAAACAAAGTATAAAATACTGTATGTTATCGACGTGATCGTAAACAATATATTTTAAATCTAAATTGTCACAAGTTAAGGTTAAGAATACTGTACATTTTTGGATTATTCATAAATACGGTTAAGGTTAAGAACACTGTACATTTTTAATATAAATTATTAAATTATGATGTTTAGCGGGAAGTATTCATAAGTAAAAAAGTTTCATAGTGTAGGAGTTTTGTCACAAAATGTTGGCAAGTTAAAGAAATCTTTAAAACTTGAGGATTTAGATCTGAATTGTTCCCATATATACAAACTATAAAACATAGTTTTCGACATGAATTGATTCAAGTTCACATAGAGTAAAACACAAAATGTTTGGACATGAATTATTAACAACTAAAAAAGCTAGAAGATTTATCTGTATATTACACACGAATGTAAAACCAAAATCAAAAAAGTATTAAAATATCGAACAGGGCACGAGATTCAGAAGATCAATTTTTACTTATTATAGGCTATGCGCTGCTCTCTGGGAAAGAATCTTTCGGTTGTTCTTTCAAGTTAATGCCATACCTTTCTCGTGATTTTCAAATTGACCAAATTCCAAGGAAAGGGCGTGTCTGTGAGCTTTCCAGATAATGACAAATATTTCAAATTAGACCGTTGTCTAAAGTTTTACTTATGAAATGTACTGTTGTTTAACACTGTCCTTAGACACTAATCTTAACCATTGAAAGATTGTACTGTTATTTGATGTCGTCCTTACAAATGTACTTTAACCAGTAAATGACTGCTCCGTTATTTGACGCTGTCTTTAGAACCTTACTTTAACCAATTGGATATAGTACCAATATTTGGCGATGCCCTTATATGCACAAATGCTTTAACCAACCAGAGACTGATGTTTGATGCTGTATTTAACAACTTACTTTAATCAGCTAAAGGTTGTACCCATGTTTAATACTGCCCTAATACAATTATTTAAACCAGCTAGAATTTTTTTCTATTGTCTAATGTCATCTTTACATACGTACATTAACCACTTAGGGATTGTACTTTTGTATGATGCTATCTTTACACACTCACTTTAACAAGTTAGAAACTGTACCGCAGTTCGAAGCCATGTTTGCAGAAGCTGCACAGTTGTCTGATTTCATCTTTACATACGTACAGTAACCACTTAGAGGTTGTACTGTTGTATGATGCCGTTTTTGCGAACTTAACTCATCAGAGGGTGTGTGTGTGAAGATGATCGAGGCTATGTTAATCAATTAGAGAGTTTATACGTTTTCTGACACTATCCTTACTTTAACCAAAGAGAAATGTTATGGTTACGAGATGTCAAATTTACAAGGTTGTTCTAATAATTCACGTACTTTACCAATGCCTAATGCTGTCTGTAAAGGTATCTTAACCGTTATCTGATGTTGTCTTTACGTACTTACTTTAACCAAAGAGAAATGTTATGGTTACGAGATGTCAAATTTACAAGGTTGTTCTAATAATTCACATACTTTACCAATACCTAATGCTGTCTGTAAAGGTATCTTAACCGTTATCTGATGTTGTCTTTACGTACTTACTTTAACCAGTCACCTTCCTGCAACTCCAAACTAATTTCTTGGGCCTCTCTAGTGTCATTGTGCCCGCTGATCCTTGTGGTGGCTACCTTTGTACAGTCGACGCCCAAGCTACATACGACCTGGTTGACATAAACAAAGAAAAAGTGTGAGTATATTAAAAACCTGAATGAATATAAAACTTACTATAAACTATATTACGAAGAATATTAAAACAACATAGTCGCGCTAACAATGTCCCTGTTCCTCCTAATGTGTTTGTAGATTTCATTGTCTACCGCTGCACAACGCTTATAAAACTTAGCAGCTATCACAGGTATCCAGTTGAAGTAAAGATGCCAAGAAAGAAAAAAAAAACAAACAAACAAAAAACTAACCGTGGCAGGAATTTTGTTTGAAGGAAGAGAAAACGTGATAGTTGCCTGTTCTTCCCAACAGGAATATTCAGAAACGTTGGTTCCCCTTCAAACCTGCGCGTGAAAATAATTAGCTACAGTGACTATAATCACGTTTAGAAACGTTGACGGGAAGGTTTTGAAAGAAAGCTTTGAGGAAGGTTGGAGAAGTTCATGCAAAGTGTTCTAGTGTCAAAAGTGTGGTGAGGAACAGTGGAAACTAGAAGGAGTGATGAATTCAATTACCCAATGCTGGCTTTGGGTGGACGGGCTTTTCTGTGGAAAGGTGAAGAAGTTAATTGATAATATTAGGATTTAGACGTTAGGGAACCATAAATGTTTTGTCTTACTGTGATACTCTAGATAACGCTGCAGAGCCAGAACTGCTGGATTTTATTTGGAAGGGTGACAACTCTTTCAGCATGATAATGCATTACGTGCCAAGCAGTGGTTTGAGATAAAGTACAGAATATTCTTTCGTCAGCCCAAAGACCCAACTTAATATGATCGAGATTTCCTGGACCTGGAATGTTTTGTAACGCAGCGTAAGAAACATATCTCCAAATCTCAGTACTCGTGGAGTTTCTACCAGACTGATAGCAAGAGTTAGTAACACTGCAGGCTACAATCAACGCCCAAGGTGGCCTGTCTGTCTCTTATCGAAATTTAGTCTTAGCTGTCTTTTAAGTCGTGTCTGAAATAGTCTAGTGGTTAGGGCGTTCGATTGGTAATTTGGGGGTCGCGGAATCGAATCCCTGTCACCGAACATGCTCGCCCTTTCAGTCATGGGGACGTTATAACGTAACGGTCAATCCCGGTCAATTCGTTGGTAAGAGAGTAGCCCAAGAGTTGGCGGTGGGTGGCGTTAACTAGCTGCCTTCCATTTAGTATATCACTGTTAAATTAGGAAAGGCTATCGCAGATAGCCCTCGTGCAGCTTTGCGCGAAATTCAAACCAAACCATTTTCAAAGCGTGTTTCCACAGTACAGTTGTGGCTACAATGTTCATTATTGTTCATAAACACAAGTATTTTATATCTTACTTAAGCCAATACACGACATTATCAGAACGTTAATGTCATACCATTTTAAATATGTTCTCAATACTACAATCTTATTTAAACTAGTAGTCAAAACACTCAAAACTCACACACGATAAAAGATGAGCTTAACACCCTATTACCACATTTACAATCCTGTACCTGAATCTATATTATCAAATAAAAAACCAATTTTTGTACTATAATATAAAGTTTAAGACTCTCTGTTGAAGACATTATTATTACATTTGATAAACTTGAAATGCTGTGTTTATTATATTACATCCAAATCTGAAACGCTATGTTAACGGATTAATTACCATATTTGAAATATAATGCGTCAACAACATGTCTGAATCTGTGTCTAAGACATTGTCAGAACACTCTATTTGAGACGCAACTATGACGTTTAAGACGATATGTCTTAGACTTTAATGTCATATTTCAAAACTTTAAGATGTTCCTACCATGGTTGAAATACTGTGTCTAAGAGTTATTATCGTATGTGTGAAAGACTAATAATATATCTTATATTTTTGAAAGGTTCCAGAGACTTTATCTAAGATGTTAAGTGCGTGGTACATTGTATAAGATACATCTGTTTATTTGAGCGTGCTTTCAGTTGAGGTATTATCATTAACATCTCTCAGAAATGATGCCTAAGGTGCTGTAATAACGTCTTACATCCTTGAAACAGCATCCATTTGAACTGAACAAGGATTACGAAAAGTTTTCAAGTAGTAGTCTTTCGAAAAGAAAACTATTAAACCATATTCCCACGAATGAATCGTTAAGATAGTACAGAAACAGAAATCACACACCTAGGGAAAATTAGTATATTTTTGATATATATGAATTTTCTTTAACGTTATTATATAGTTGTACGTTCAGTGGAACATTACAGTTTCTTAATGTGTTCTATTGTCGCCTTGTTTTATAATACGGTGGTAATATAAGATAATAATATATTGCCGAAATTGAGTCTTATATATTTGATAAAATAGTTTACACTTTTCGATTAGGATTTAACTGTAACAATATATTTTATTATAAAAACACATTCGTATATTGTGTTCATTTAAATCTCCTTTATTTCAGTAAACCAGTTTTTCTTTCCTCATTAAACAAATTTAAATACCGTATTTTAAAACCTGTACTCGCTGTTACTTCTTGTTTTCGGGGACTGCATTTTTCGTTTGTTTGTTTTAGAGTAAAGCCATATTGGGCTATCTGCTGCGTCCACCGCGAGGAATCGAGCCCCGGATTTTAGCGTTATAAGTCCGTAAACTTACCGCTGACCACCGGGACTGCATGATACGCACTTTTTCTCAAATACCAAGAATTCAGACTCTAGAGCATGCTAGGAATTCAGGAGTTACTAAAGTTCTTTAGAAACCTTAATAGCCAGGAGATTTTACTAACGAAAACAGCATTTGGAATCTGGGAATTTAACTAATTAATCAAAGCTTAGATCTTTGATCTGCATGGTGTAACATATGACTGAGGTATCGTTAAGCTAATCTGTTATCTTTACTAAATGAATGGCTCCACCCAATAAACTTTGAACAATTCTTCTTCTCATAAGGAAATAGACTATTTAACACTTAGAACCTAGTTAGCAAAAGCAGCAGTAAACCTATTGTTTAATGTAATTCATTTGAATCCCCGATTATGGTTAAAGATAGCGTTTTGATCCATGAGTTACAAGGTGACTTCCTGAGTTTGAAACAGTCAAATCTTTAGATAGTCACCACACCTTACTGAGGGCGTGAAACAGCAACGTTTGACCACTCAGACAACAAAATAGTGGCTATAGTTGAGGCACACCCTAACCAAATGGACAATGAAACTGATTAAAGGTTCCACCCTAAATCTGTAGATCTTTAACATTTTATAG